ACGTGTAGCCAGAAAAGCCGGGTCTCACTGTCTGTCGCTGTCAAATCCAATGAGCAGAAACAGAATTGAATCTATATGGCACACTTTATTGTCAGAAAGCCAGGATTTAAGAAACGGCAGGTATGTTGCCCCTGAAAGTGTTAGGGGGAAAGGATGTCCTGAGCTAATCCCATACAGGCTTTGTGGACTCCACCCCCCGCCCTCCAAATCCCATCACCACCAAAAGGAAGGTGGCTGGGACCTGAGGGTGGGGTTTAAGCACCTTGGGTCCGTGAGGTCCGCCCGGGGCACAATAAATTTTTCCTTCCTTTGAGAAATTTAGCCTGGCTCTCCTTTTCTTTACCGCGCTGAACCTTTCAGCCCCCCAAAACCGTTCTGATATCTCTTTTTGAGCTGGACTTTTTCTAGCGAGTTAAACAAAGACAGTTCATCATGAGTTAAAAGCCTGTCTCAGCAGCCCATCACCATCGGTGCCCCTAGTGTTATCATCTTCAGTCTCCCAGAGTTTGTTGTCACATCTTGGTCATTTGAAACTGGTTTACTAGGCCTGGTTAGTTTCCTTCATTCCTTCCTTCCTCCCTCCCTTACTTCCTTCTTATTTATTTGTGCATACAAGAGCTGGGTTACAGGCCAGATATGCAGCGGGGCGGGGGTGGGGGTGGTGGTGGGAGGGGGGGGGGGTGGTGGTGAGAGGATTCACCAGGGACAGAATGGGGAACATAACAGGCAGACCAACTGAAATGCACTGCTGAGGGGAGCAGCGGGCCAGTCAGGAGAAGTCTGCTGCGTCATGTGGGCCGCCCCCGGCTGGCCGGAAATCGAACTCAGGCTGCAGAAGCTGCGGATTTCTTCATCATGCGATGCTTCACCCCTTGAGCTACCAGGGAGGCCCAGGACTGGTTAGTTTCTGATGGCATCAATGTCCCAACACTTCCTCAGGCATCACTAAGGCAGGAATCTCCACCAAATTTCAAAGAAAACAGATCATTAGTCATATGGTGTTTGTGAGCTGCCTCTGCGTATCTGTACCTGCAGACTCCTACACGAGGTATTGTGCCCGCTCCTTTCTCCCTAGCCCTAGCACAGGAAATTGGCAGCCCTGGGAGTCCTCCAGAGCACCTCATTAGTTCATCACTGGAAGAACCAAGAACCAAGAAAGAAAAAAAAAAATGCCTTTTCCAGCTTCACCTAGAGTGATATCTCCTCTGCTTGGCCTTCGTGCAGTTTTTCCAAAAATTCTGACCAAATTTCTTCCCATAGTTCCCAGGCCTTGACTTGCCGTTGTTATCAGATTTTCCAGACTCGGGACTTTCCATGGTTTAAAGCCTTTTGGAAAGGCTTCTAGAGTGAAACTGTTATAGAGCAACCCCGATATTAAACGGGTTCCTGGCTGTGAGTCCTCACCCGCGCGCTTTAAAGGGACTTATGAATACTCTACTACAGACACACGCAAAAGGGTTAATAAAAGGTTTATTTACAAGAGAAAAAGAAATAAGGAAAATATACAACTCAGGGAGAAAATAGGGAAATAAAGTCTTTAATGCGTCCTACCCGATCCGACGACCTGGAAACCCAAAGTCACTCCCAGAGCTGGCCGGACGCTGCGAGCTGGCGGAAAGCCAAAAATGGCGCCCCCCAAAGCCCACGTGTCTGCCTTTTGTATCCACCTGGCTGCTTAACCCCACCCTCAGGTCCCAGCCACCTTCCCTTTGGTGGTGATGGGATTTGGAGTTCCCAGTGTCTTTGGCTTTGACCTGGGGTGGGGGTGGAGTCCACAAAGCCTATATGGAATTTGCTTTGGGACATCCTTTTCCCCCTAACAAAACCAGGCCAGACAGTCCTGGTTTTCAGGTTCAGGGACTTTTCCCTTTCTGATTTCAATCTCTCCTACCCTCTACCCTCTCCCTGTTTTGCCTGGGATGGAAAATTGTGAAAGCTTTGGTGTTTTAATTGGAAGTAGGTTTTTGGTAGGTTTTTGTTTTTTTTTTTGGAACTGGCCTGAGTCCTCTTTTCTCCATTGTGAAAATAGACAAAATAAATATGAACAAAATGTGGACATGAAGAAGCAGAGGCAAAGTCAGAAGATTAAAGGCCCACTGTGACCAGCCGGCTCTGAGCCCTGCCCTTAGCATCTTCAAGCACAACCGCCTGATGCCGGAAGCCTCTGCCCAGAGAGCCCTGACAGGAGGTGAAAGGCCGTTTTCCTTAGGCTAAAATCCTTCATTCTCTAAATTCCTGTCTTTCTCATACTGATGACATCACCAGACATCACGAGTTAAGTTACTGCCTGTCTGGGAATTGAATTTTGTTTTGCCCTGTCTGGTGATTAACATGTGCCTGAGAATATTATTCCAGTGAAAGCAAGTGTTTGTTTCTGCTCTGTGGTCTTTGCTAAAAAGACCCTCCCCCCTCCCCCCATCTCCACAGCCTATATAATCCAAGCCCTATCTGGGAAGAGTTAAAGAAGCAGCTGGAACCCCTTTCCATTCAGTCTCTTCGTCCAGATTAATCCTCATTTTGACCTCTAGAAGAATAAGTAATTTTCCCCTCTATACAGTGCTGCGTACTAGTAAGTTAATACCAGGGACTCTGGCTTCTTGAGGAGACTCGTCTTTAACCTTAAGTTCTCTGTGGCAGAGTAGGGCTGTGTCAAAATAGATATATTTCTCCCTCCCAAGTTTCCTACAGCCTAGGTGTGCCACTGTTTTCATAAGATACTGTCCTTACTCTGTTACAGTTTTCTTGGTACCATATAAGCCTCCTTTTAAAGCCAATCTCTTGCCTAAACACCAGAGGAAGCTCCTGCCTCACCTGGGTCATCCTGGAGCATCTGTTCAGCTCTCTCTTGCAGGAGTCCCAGACACCTGCTCCATCCTCTTTTAAAATCAGAGCTTGCAAAACTTTTGTTTCTCAGCACCTACCATAATAATAAACATCTAAATTCTGCTGATTGTACAGTAGTTGACTTAGGGGTACAAAGATCAGGTTAAAAATGACTGCAATGTAGCACTATTTCCAATGTAGCACTATTTCCAATGTAGCACTATTTCCAATACCTATTGGAAAAAGTAGATGACTGCCCAAAAGTAGATGACTGGATCAAGAAGATGTGGTACATATACACAATGGAATATTACTCAGCAATCTAAAAAGATAAACTCATGCTATTCACAGCAGCGAGGATGGAGCTAGAAGGGAATGTCTCTTCCTCTCTGATGCTCTGTCCTAGGGTTCTTGTGTCTGAGCTTTTCAGAGGCAATTCACGGAATCCACTGGCACTTGCCTGGGTTTCCCCTTCTTAAGGGGATACGATACTGGGTATCGTATCACTTAGTTGATTCAGACAGTAGCATAAATCCCAGTGTCTACGATACTGGGTAAAGCTGGGGCAATTGCAGGCCTCATAATCTTTTCAGAGTGTAACAGGCATCTCCATGAAAAGAAGTTTCTGTGTTTCCTGTCCCTGGGAAGGATGTTTTGAGCAGCTGGATGGAGCTGTAGAGCACGGAAGGCAGGAGGCAGAGGAGGGGGACACATGGAGAAGAAGAGCCCCCTTGCTTCTTGGCTTTGGACATGCACCAGGGGCTTGGGAGGTATGGAGGAGACAACTGGGTGAGAGACACATGAGGAGGCTGACACTGGCAGCCATTATTTCATTTGTGCTTTGATTTTGCTCTTTGTGTCCCAAAGACTTGCCTGCTGCCCTTCACCCTCCAGAAGGTGCCTTAGACTTTCAAGCCTCAGCAGCTCCACCTTGAGCCACCCTGTTTGCTGGGCATTTACTTATGAGAGGATGGGTAACTTTGGGTATTTTATTGGGGAACTGTATCCTTTCTCTTCCTTCTTTTTACACAATTGTTCTATTAAAGATCTTTCACACTATGGCCTCCCTAGTGGCACAAGAGGTTAAGTTGCAGGACAATGAAGTAATCCGCAGCCACTGCAGTTTTATCATTGCAGTTTGATCCCCAGGCAGGGAGGTGATGCACATGGCACAGCACCCTCTCCTGTCTTGCCCACTGCTGCTGCTCCCTGCTCTGTCTCTGGTGAATCCTCTCACTCCTGCGTCCCCACCCCTTCACCTCCGGCCTATACCCCAGCTCTTGTATGCACAAATAAATAAATCTTTAAAAAAATAAAATAAAATATTTTTTTAAAATAAAGATCTTTCATATGCTGTGTCTTTATGTGGCACATGGCAGATTCCCTTTAGAATGTACAGGTATGGGGGTGCCAGAGTTCCCACAGGTGGCCCACTAACAAGATGGCTACTGCCTTTCCTTGTGTGATGCTCAGGGTTTTTTCATCTATAGTTTCTTTTCTTTTTTCCTTTTTAGTTGATTCAGACAATAACATAAATCCCAGTCGCTGTTAATCCATTTTGACAGGGGATATAAGTCTGGAGTTGATATTACTAAGGTAAAAAAGCACTTTGCTTTTTAAAATTCTGGAACACTTCATAGCTTCACTTATTTTGTTTACAGTCTAATTAACTTTATACCCTAGTCCTTCTCTTATTCTGGAGTGTGATTCTCTCAAGACCAGATCCTTGTCTTTTGTAAATGGTTGAGGTTCAGGAAATATTAATGGTCTGATGTCTTTCTGCAATCCACTTATTATTTGAGAAAGGATTTTTCAAGAAAATATTTCAAAAATTTTCACAAAATTTATTATATGTGAAAGGATTTTACTCTAGTGGGAAGTGCAGATATGAAATGCAGGATCTCATGCCTGCATCCTGAGGTTAACAAAACTTAAGGACTGATTCCTATAAATGCTTTCATTTTGCAGTAGTTCAGTTTCATTTTTACTTTGGCTCCTCCTCACTTATATAGGCTCTTCCCCCACATACCACACCCATTTTCAGTTGCAGTGAACACAGTCTGCTTCAGCGCACCTCAGGTCCGCAAAGTCATCTCAGCAAAGCCATCCTCTCATCTTGAAAAAGCCAGCTGTGCTCTAGGAGGCATTCAGAGTTCGTCCACACTTTTGTCTTCCAGTGCCTGCTTCACAGCGCTCCTGCAAACAGAATGCCCAAGTCTTTGCATTCTCTGCTGAAAGTGACAAAGAAAGATGCTGCCTCCAGAGATGACAAGGAAGCAGGAGGATCGGGTAACATATGGGTCATAAAATTTGCAACAAAAAAGAAAGAAAGAAAGAAAGGAAAAACAGCAAAAAGAGGGAAGGGGAATGTTTCTTTCTGATGGGACTCCTTAGGGAAGCCACATTTCAGGAGTCTTAGCACGTCATTGTCATTTTCCTTCTCCATAATTTGTCGTGAGGGAATATTGATGCATGAGAGAATTGGGGTGTATTTTACACCAATTATTATATTGCTGTGTATGTACTTACTCATTTCTGGGGCAGGATTTATAAATAGTAAATGGATTACAAGAGGATAAGGGGGATAATGTTCTTTGTGTTTATATTGTTAATCCTCCTGTTTCCCCCACATTCCTGGCAATTTGTACCTTAGCAAGTCACATTATGATGTTAAATCACAGGTCGTTTACAGCCCAGAAGGTTGGCAAACTTGAACTCCAACAATCTTGTTTTAACATACATATACACACATATATGTATGTATGTGTATAATGCATGTATGTAATGTAAATATGTATGCATGTGCATATGTCTATATACACACATACACACATATATACCAACAAAAGTTGCCTGAAACAACTGGGATTTCTGGTATATATATCCTTTGTAATTTGTAAACAGATGTAGGGGTATGAGGATGGGTGGCTGTGGAAGACTGCTCTCAACAGCAAATTCTTTAGCATTTTCAGTTTACAGAAAATTTGATGAGAAAAGAGGAAGAACATAAAGTGTGTTTGTACCTCAGTCTAGCAGAAAAGATACCTTTTACTGAACCTTTATCTTTTGCTTTTTTATATTTATATATATATGTGTGTATATATATAAACACACACACATATATATGTTCTTCTTTCCTATTCCCCTTCCCTGAATTTGATTGTTTTCCCTGAAAAAACAAGGCTCATAAAACTCTGAATCTCATGACTCCCATGATTGTTGGATTGCTAAAGGGTGACATGAACATCTTGCCTTATGTCTCCCCAATAAATGTGACCCTCTTCTTCATCTACTAAAAGCCCCTTCTTTGCTCCTGTATTTCCCTATATCTCTCATGCTCCTTTGTATCAAGCTCCATTTCCTCTTTCTCTTCCCCTTTCTAATGCTGTGTCCCTGCTAGTTCCCTCCACATTTGTTGTTTTTTTTTGTTGTTTCATTTTTACTTTGGCTCCTCCTCACTTATATAGGCTCTTCCCCCACATACCGCACCCATTTTCAGTTGCAGTGAACACAGTCTGCTTCAGCGCACAACAAAAAAAACAACAACAAAAAAAAACAATGTTAATTTTGCAATTATGTTGTAAGTCCAGAGCTTCCGCACCTAAACTATTTGGCCAATCAGAACAGGTACACATTGCAAAAGCTGTTTTGAAATTCTAACAACAAACTAGCTCAACTTTTTGACTCTGTAAATATAAAAATTAAAATCCGGCCTGCAATATGGTTCATTTCCTTGTTCTTCTGGGAGATAATTCCTAATGCTGATTTTTCCAACTAGAAATTTGAAGATTATTGTATTCAGAGCTTATTGTGCTGAATTGTGAGAGGCACAGAAATGTGGAGGGAACTAGCAGGGACACAGCATTAGAAAGGGGAAGAGAAAGAGGAAATGGAGCTTGATACAAAGGAGCATGAGAGATATAGGGAAATACAGGAGCAAAGAAGGGGCTTTTAGTAGATGAAGAAGAGGGTCACATTTATTGGGGAGACATAAGGCAAGATGTTCATGTCACCCTTTAGCAATCCAACAATCATGGGAGTCATGAGATTCAGAGTTTTAAGACACCTTTGCTGCAGTGTAGAACCAGAGAGAACAAAAGGTTGAGCCAAATCCAGATGTCATGGTCTACTGCCTAACCTATTTCAACCCTACATTTCTGCTTCCCTGACTACAATTTAACTAACTCACTCTCCCTGTTACTGTGAGAGATAGTCATGAAGTGAAGAAAATTTGTAATGGTTGAAAGAGTCCACAGGAGCTTGTTTTCTGTGACAAATTTCTCTGATTTTATTTTTGTGTTGAAGTAATGCTGACTTACAACACTGTGTGATTTAGAAATACAGGTTCACACCTATATTTCTAAATACAGGTATGATTCAAAAACAGAACTTGGTCTTCGTTTGAATCAACCTGGAAACTGCTGGGACAGGGCTCCTGAGTGGGGACTTGTGCTGTTCTTTGCACATCATATGAATGAAGTCAGCTGTGCCCGACTGCACTCCATTGCTGCTTGCAAAGCTTTGGACAAGTCAGAGTTTTGGAATTTTGGGGGTAAAGGAGAAGACCAACTAAAATTTGGCAAGCCAAGTAGAATGAGAAATGAGCAAATGTGAACATATGGTCAGGCTTTTTCCTTTTCGTAGTGCTGAAAGATATTCAGTAGTTGAAAGATACTCAAATTATTACCAGTTTTGGGTTACTGAATAAAGCTGCTATAAAAATTCATGTCCAGAGTCTCCCCAGTGGTGCAGTGGTTAAAGACATCGCTGTCAAGTTATCTTCAGCCACTACCACTGCAGCACCAGTTTGATCCCTAGCCAGGGGGCTAACCCACATGGCAAAGCAGACGTTTCCTATCACGCCCCCTGCTCTCCTCAGCAGTGTATTTCAGTCAGTCCACCTGTTCTATTCCCCACTGTGTCTCTGGTGAATCCTCTTACCCCCCACACCTCTGGCCTGTACCCCAGTTCTTGTATGCATAAATAAATAAATCTTTAAAAAAATCATGTCCAGGCTTTTGTATAAACAGAGGTTTTCATTCCCTTGCATAAATAAGATTGGGATAGGGACAGGTTAACTCGGGCATGTGGTACCTTTATGTTCACCTTGCCAAATTACTAACTTGATATAGTTTCCAAAGTGACTATATCATTCTACATTTCCAACAGTGTAGGAGAATTCCTTCCACATCATTTCTTCACCTCCACTTAGCTTGTTATTTTATTTGCCACGCCCATGGCTATAGAGCAGTAGCTCATTATATTTTAATTTGTTTTCCTTTAATGACGTGCTAAGCATGTTTTTAGGTGTGTATTTACCATCCATCTAAAATCAAATCTTTGGTCAGTTTTTAAATTGGGTTGTTTTCTTAATGTTGAATTTTGAGAGTTTTTAGTAAGTTTTAGATACATATTTTCTCCATAGAAGGCTTGTGAATATTTTCACCCATTCTGCCTGTTCTCTTTGTATTTTGATAATTGTTTCTTCTACTTTGCAGATATTTTCCAGTAATCTACTTGCTTTTATTGCTTATTCTTTTGGTGTCATATCTGTGGAGGAAATCATTTGCTCTTCACTACCAGCTGTGCCTTTTCTGTTGATGACTTTTATCAGGAGTAGGAAAGTCTTTCTGTTCCTAGTTTTTGGGAATTGTTATGGAAGAATGTTAAATTTTCACAGGCTTTTTCTACAATTACTGAGATGATCATGCACTCTCTTTAATTCTGTTAATATGATGAATGCCACTGATTTATTTTCAAAGCTTCACTTAGTACTTCTAACCAGATCTCTTCATTCTGGAGGTACATCTGGATTAATTGTATGTTTCTTTTTTACCTTCATTTCTACTCATTTTGTTTCCTGCTCTTTCTTAAATACTTCTTCCAATCACTGGAAGAAGTTTGTAGGGGGAAATAATTCAGTTGCTTGCATCTCTGCCCTCTTGAGACCATGGCCAACATTTATGAAGCAGGAACCTTTTTGAAAGGAGTTGGCAATAAGAAAATTGAGGCACTGATTTTAGAGGATGCTTCTCTGGTAAATTTAAGTTTTCTTTGTAAGGCCTTCATGAGATTAAAATTATGACATTTGTATTCTGTAGGTGAAAGATTTTGCCAAAGCAAGCATCTAACCTCTGCCATCTGTGTTGTACTTCTAACTGCAGTGATTGTACTTTCTGTTCTTTTGGCAGGTAAGTTACTTGTTCCCCAAACCTTATGATGTTATCTATACATTTATATTATCAATAAATATTTTTGAACTCTATTATGTGCCACAGACTGTTTGAAGTGCTTGAGGTATATCAATGAACAAAACACAAAGATCCCTGCTCCCAGGGAACTTACATTCTAGAAGGAAGCTGCAAATACAATAAACAAAGGTAGGGATGGAGAAGGCCATCCTAAATAGAGGGGTGGCAAATAAATCACCTTAAGAGGCTCTTTCAGGAAACTTTTGAAAGAGAGAAAGTCATCATAGACTACCTGGGGAAAGCACTCCAGGCAGAGAGAACAGGTTGACAAAAATCCCTAAGGAGGAGTATCTCTGGGTTTGAAGAATAGCAAAGAGGCCTCAGTTCAATGTGAGAACAAGGAAGAGCCATCAGGGGGGAACCACTGGATTTTAAGAGTTTTGTAAAACACTTAAAGGCTTGAGCATCTACTCGGAGTTCAAGGGGGAAGATGAGGAAGAGGGAAATCATGATGAGACTTTCATTGCAGAATACTCATTCTGACTGCTGTATTGAGAAGAGGTTGTTAGAAGACAGGGTGGAATCAGCAAGACCTTTCAGGGCAATCTTTTTGAAATCTAGGTAAGAGATGATGATAGCTTGGACCTGAGGTTGACAATGGAGTTGGACCAGGGTGGTCAGATCTGGATATTTCGAAAGGTGAGACAACAGTATTCCATATTAGATTCGGTATGAAGTTTTAAGAGGAGAAAATGTTAAAGATAACTCTAAGGATTTTCTCCTGACCCATGGGAAGAATGTAGATACCAGCCCTGATGAAAGAAAGGCTGTGAGTTAAGGTTTTTCATCTATGAAGCTATTTCCTGACATGTCCCATTCAGGTTTGCATTTTATTATTTCACTCAGGTCAAATCCGTGAGTTTTTGACAGGTGCTTATGCAGAATGACAGTGCAAAGAAGTGTCAGAGAACTATATGCTTAACAAATTCCAATGTATATAGAGGCAATAAATGCTTAGCATTTCTTGAAACACTTATTCAGGAAGAAATGATTTATCACTATTACTAAGTCACTGATACATGTATTCTGATTTCATTAGTGATCTTCTAAAACTTTTTATTCCTACAACTCTAGAATATAACCTAAACATTTTAGAAAACTAAATATCCCCTGACCAAGTTTTGTGTTATCATCTAACATCTTTCCTTAGAGGTTTAAATAACTGCAAATGATGTAATATCCAACACATTGTAGATACTGACATTTAAAAATTAACCTGTTATTTTGGAGTCAAAATTATGCTGTGATATGTTACACACCATTATACATTTAAAAACATACATGAGCAAAACCATCCTTATCTTGGAAAATTTTACTTTGTTTTCTTCAAACGGTTGTTTATGTATTATATTTCTACTATAGAATTTTATCACAGTATAATATGTAAGTAATGCTTACCTTTAAATATAAAGGGGAAATAAAAGTTTACTGTGGTGTTCAATATTTCAAATGAAATATCTTTTTACTTACTATACCTTCCAAGGAGCAATGTATGGTTTTTTTTTAAGATGTTAGAGGAGAAGGAGAAGTTATGAAACAAAAATGTCCATTCTTCCTGTAGCCAACACTGTGGCTGGTTTCAGAATGTATAGGGAGGACCAAGATATTTTCATTCATATTTAACAGAAATACATATAAAACAGAAAACTACAGGAAGTCCTACATTGTATTTTTGGTGCCAAAATTATATTTTAAATTTTGTTGTGTTTTGTCTACAGGGACATTTTGTAGCCCCTAAGAAATGTGGCATAGTAACATCTATAACAGATAAGACTTGTCCAGAGGTTGAAGGGCTAATATTAAGGAAGATGTAGAAAAGCAGAATTTGCAAGATGTAGGAACCGTGTACTAGTGTTTACCTTTTGGAGAAATTAGGTTAGAATCATTCATAAAAAGCATTGCTGTAGAATTTGATTTGCTTGAAACAAGTAGTGCCCATGTACCCCTCAGGAAGTGAGGGGCACAGGCTCCCACTTGCAGACTACTGGACTGATAACTATTGTCCTTAGGGTAAGGCACTTACTGATGAGCTGGGAAAATGACAATTGAAGGTACATACTCAGAAGTGACCTGAGGATGCTACATGGAAGCATAGATAAAAAGGATGAGAACATCCATTAACAATTTATTGTTACCTTCCAACTTTTAGCAAGAAAGGAAATGGAGCACTGTGGGTGTGCACCCTGCCCAGAAGGATGGATTGGATTTGGAAGCAAGTGTTTTTATTTTTCGGATGACATAGAAAATTGGACATTCAGCCAGCAATTCTGTATGTCACAAAAAGCCAATCTTGTGCAGATTGAAACCCTGAAGGAAATGGTGAGGATTGTTGGATCCCTAGCTCCTTGGACAGGAAGGCTGCATGGGGTGAAGGCTAAAGGAGAAGGAAGACTCTAGGATTTGGAGTCAAATTTCTGCTGTGATATGTTACACACCATTATACATTTAAAAACATACATGAGCAAAACCATCCTTATTTTGGAAAATTTTACTTTGTTTTCTTCAAACGATTGTTTGAAGTATTTTGTGTGCCTAGCTTGGCACCCTGTGAGATGTTTCAGACCCATTGTTTCATGGAATCCTCAATATAACCCACAAGATTGGATATATACAGAGAAGTATGGTTATCATAGAATTTGTCATCCAAATAGGGTGTTATGGGGACTATGGGTGAGATTCATACTCCACTAGAACAACAATTATTACCTGGGTCTTTGCCAGCCCAGCAGGGGTGGATGGTGACTTTAAGATAATTTTGGATTAGAGACAAGAGAATAAGTTTGGGGGCTGAGAACTAGGGACTATTCTAACCCTAAAGTCTTAACTTCTCCCTGATGCCATGCTGCCATCTAAAAAGAAAAGGCTGTGGGGTCGAGAGTCCAAAGAGTAATAGGAGAGCAACATGTTTTTCACTTTCTATGTTTTTCATAATAGAATTTCCTGAAAAGATACAAAGGCCCTATTGACCACTGGATAGGCCTTAGTAGAGAGTCGCCAAATCACAGCTGGAAGTGGGCAGGCAACGCTGGATACAATATCACGTATGTTTGGGGACTTGACTTTCTACTGTGTGTATGTGTGGGTATGTGTGAGAATTGTCTTTGTGAGAAAGCAAACTTAAGATCATGGAAAACTCACTGCACTAGGAGGGTAAGAGATGCACACCATTTTCATGCCCTTCCATTTATTTGCTGTGGCTTTGAAAAACTTTAGTAATTGTCATTTTCATTGAAATCTTTAATATGAGGATGACTTTGAACATGGTTCTTATACCTTGAGGCAATGATTTAAATGTCTCTGCTGGAATCTTTAAATGTAGAAAGGCTAGATGAGGCATAGCAGGGATTCTAAATTCCTAGAGCCACAAAGAATAGTTGCCATCAATTTCCTAAGCTCACCTTCATTCCCACTGCTGCATCTATCACAAAAAGAAAGTCTTCAGGGAATCTATGGGAATGTTTCCTGAAGTTTTATCAGTGAAAAGAACTAGGGAACAGGTCCTTGAATTGTGACCATTTCAGTGGAGCAGATAAAACATAGGGGCCAAACCACTACCATCAATCACAGCTATGCCATCTGAAGAACTGACTAGTAAAACTAGCAAGCTGACCACAGATCTGAGCCCTGCAGCAGGGGCGGGGGAGGAATGAGGGTCAAAACAAGAAGACTGAAAATAATATTCACTAAAGGCTACTGTGGTAACAGTTCATTTGCTGCAACAGCAAGTCCTCGTTAATTACTTTATCAGCAACTTACCCGGACTTGGTACAGATGCATGATAGATGTGATAGTAACAGACCTTGGCAATGTAAAGGGAACTAAACACAGAAATGGTGCTTTAATAAACTAGAGTTGGAGTTATAATGGAGGAATGAATGTAGATGTTCAACATAAGGATATTTAATGATGCTGTTTTGGGTTTTAGGTTTGTCATCAGAGGAGATGGAGAGTGTGCCTACCTGAATGACAACGGAGTCAGCAGTGGGAGGATCTACACAGATAGGAAATGGATTTGTAGTAAGCCAAATAATCAAACTGACAAGCGTCACATTAGTTGAAACTCTTTGTGAGCCTCTAGTGGGCTCTGAGACCTGGGACGCTGGTCGCGAAGGACCGACCAGACGGGGGACTGCTGTCAGCTACAAGCAGTGATCCCCTATTTTTCTCAGCATGGTTATATGGGAATTGTGAACAAGATTGCAAAACAATCTTGGCTCACACGTCATGTACGTGAGCTCATAAGCACCACCTAGGTGAGCCCTTGGGCTTATCGGACATGCCTGTCTTTGTGGGCCTCTGCTGCTAAGTTACGACCGAGGAGACTTCCAAGGAAGAAGCAAATTCAGGGCGTCCCTCCCAGGCGGTTTTCCGCCCTGGCACAAGCGAGTTTTCTCAGTGTTCCTTCAGCTGTAGATCATCACCTCTCGATCATCCGGAATTTCCCAACTATTTATAAGAAACTGCAGGGCCTCCCTGGTGGCACAGCGGTTGAGCGCTGGGCTGCGAAGCTGCCTGCAGCCGGCCAGCCTGCGAGGGTCCCACATGGCGCGCAGACCTCTCCTGCCGCCCGCTGCTCCCCTCAGCAGTGTATTTCATCAGTCTGCCTGTTCTGTTCCCTGCTCTGACTCTGGTGAATTCTCTCACCCTCCCGTACTTCTGACTGTACCAGTGCTTGTATAAATAAATAAATCTTAAAAAAAAAAAAAAAGAAAGAAACTGCATAGTACTTTGTTATATCACAGTTGCTGAGAAACTGTTTTGTTACTTGCATTGTACTTCATTATTTGGCCTATCAAAACTATTGCCAATAAGCATTAATAAATCTCACTGACAGGCATTGTAATTTGCTGTATATAGTTGCTGAGCCATAGCTTATTTTACCAAAAATATTAACACTATTCATCATACTATGAGTTAGCAACCAATATGCAAACTACCATAAGGTGGTATAATACAGGGATTTGATAGCACCTGAATATAACTTAAGTAGGTATTTTAGTATGAATTGATACTGATATTTTGAAACCAGAATATAATTAATATCTATGAATTCTATCTTTTATGGCCAGATGTAACCCCCCCTATATAAACAGTCTGACATGGTGACCCATAAAAATGACCATGCTAACTGAAGCCATGCAAAATCATTTTAATATTTAATGAGAAAAATTATAGTTGACCTGTGACCTTTGAATACATTCCAAATTCTCTTACTGTCACAAATATGTAGTGAAATTTAAGAGTGCTATTTATATTTTACTGTGTTTTAAAACACCAGAAACAGTTTAATTCTGTGTTTATGTTTTAAATTACAATGTGCTAAATAACTATGATACCTACAAATAACATTATTTTATCCTTTATTAGATTTAAAATTCTTTTATCCAAGTTTAATGGATATTTACTTGAGCACTTTTTTTTTTAAAGATTTATTTATACAAGCACTGGGTACAGTCAGAAGCGCGGGAGGGTGACAGAATTCACCAGAGTCAGAGTGGGGAACAGAACAGGAAGAATGATGAAACACAATGCTGAGAGGAGCAGCGGGCATGGCAGGAGAGATCTGCCTGCCATGTAGGACCCTCGCAGACCAGCGCTCAAACCCTGTGCCACCGAGGAGGCCCTACTTGAGTACTTTTAACATTCAAAATTCAGTCAGCACTGTGTGCACATGCTATTGAGAAACAAAAGGTCTTAAATTTCTATAGCTTCAGCTACACTGTACTGATGAGTCCCAAAAAGGACGAAACAGCACTTTACAATGCGGTTTTTCTTGTCTGCATTTTCATTTCTCATACTTTTTTGGCATATTACTCCATCTTCCTGTAATTATTTGAAATTTTATTATATATGTTTTTAAGGATTTATTGCATTTATTTTATACACATTTTGTTAATTGTATATATTTTATTGTATATAACCAACATATGATATGTTTTTAAAATTTCAGAAATAAATCTTGGTGAGTAGTAAGTAAACTTTTTAATACTCGTAATGCCCTTTGCTTTATAATCCATTTTATCTTGGACTTTGTAAGCGACAGGGACTATGCCAAGTTCACTTCTGCTTCCTGGGAGACCAGCACAGTGTCTCAAAGACTATCTTCAAAACATGCCTGAGGATGTGCCTCCATCACTGTGAGATTCTGCTCTGTTTGCTTAGTTTCTGCTCATTTTCTCACAAAAGAAGCTGCATTTCACAGAAATACAAATAAAAACAAGATTCTCTGTGTGACTTAACTCACAAATAAAATTTAAGTCAACTGTGACACTTATGACCTAGTATTCTTTAATGAAGTTTCCAAATCATCTATCAAAAACATGGATTCCATTTCTTACCAGCTATGACCTTGATAATGTAAACTAAAATCAACAGTTAAAAGGGTTCCCCTCTTCCTGGTCTCAACTAAGGGGTGCAGGTGGGAGCTGTACTGGTCTTGTGAAGAAGCTGCTGCATCAGGGGCAACAAGAATTTGTCTCTGGGCAAATCAGTTAATTTCAAAGAAAGATAGTTTTCAAGGTGTATAGCATTGTTAAAAAGTCCCAGTTTCCAGAAAAGTAGGTTCTAAATGGATGGGGTAAATTTTAACAAACCTCCTTTTTTATTTTCTGTCTTTTTTTTTTGTGGGACCCTCGCCGGCAGCCGGGGAGCAAATCCGCGTGCAGAAGCTGCGGGCAGCCTCGCAGCCTAGCGATCAGGCGCTGTGCCACCAGGGGAGGCCCCTCCTTTTTTTCTTTAATGCAATGATAAATACACTTTCTCTGTAAAAATTCTTGAAAATGTAAATTATCTTACTTATAGACTGTATAAAATTCCAATTGTGAGACTCAGAATTTGGGCAGTTTTCCCAGTTCTATCTGGAAACTGTTCCCAGCTTCCAGGCCTCAGTCTTGATTCTTTAATCAGTTCATCTAATTTTTGTCTGGCTCAATTATATAAGTCAACAATAAAGTATATACCCTTTCAAGCACAGTTTCTTCATATGAAAAATGAGTATAATAATATTAGTTTCACTGACTAGTCCTAAGATTCCAATGAGATCACACATGAAAATCTCTTGTCTGTAGACCTGATTCATAGTAAATGTTTCCCAAACTATTGTTTTTGTATTATTGCTCTCTGGTAAAAAGTTAAAGTTCAGCAATAGTTCTGCTACCTGTGTGGACTGTCCACTTTATATATTTATTCATTCACTCTCCTTTATTTATTTTTTAAAGATTTTACTTATTTTTGCATAGAAGAATTGGAGTATAGGCCAGAGGTGCAGGGGGTGGTGAGAGGATTCACCAGAGACAGAGTGGGGAACAGAACAGGCAGATTGACTGAAATACACTGCTGAGGGGAGCAGCGGGCAAGACAGGAGAGGTCTACTGTACCATATATGGGTAAGTTCCCTGGCCAGGGATAGAACTCAGGCTGAGGTGGTGATAGCACTGAGACTTAAACTGTAGGCCACCAGGGAATCCAGTTAATGCTGACTAAATGAATTAATCTGTTCGAATATAGTTTTCTGTTTTGTATTTCTAGAAAGTGGCATTTATTCTTAATAGTGTGTGGCCAGTTTGCTTAAAAACATGTGTAGTCCATCTGTATTGTGAATAGATTTAATAGTCTTCTCAGTTTACTTTGAGTCCAGCAAAGTTTAACACAAACATAAACACTCCCCCAAAAACCTGAAAATATTTAAGATAAAAAGTTTCTACTCAGTAACCAACAATGAGATACAAGCACATGTGGAGCCCTCATTTACTTTACTATTGTTCTCATTATGAAATAAACTGGAAATAGACTTTGATGTTTGTTTAGTTGAAATCAATGTATAATGTTCATTATTTTTTAATGTAATGTGTGAAATGGGTAGACTTTTGGTACTTTTCAATGGGAATCACATGCAGGATATTTCATTTTCAAATTGAGTATTTTTACTATTCCAGTCGAAAAGAAAATGAAATTTTCATATGTCTCAGAATACAAGGTAAGAGAGCACTGAGACATTTTGAGCAGAGATAAGAGCAAGACAGAGAAAGACACAAATTAATATAATGGAATAGGAAAGAAATGAAGACCAAAAAAAGAATTTAGATTAGATTTATTGCAGCAGGAATTCAGATGGAAAATGTGGGTGTGATCACAAGTGTGCAATTTGCAGTTATGACAAACTAGGGCAGCCAGATCTGTTACTGACCTTTATCTAGAAATACCAGAAGAATTTTAAGAATTTTAAGATGCTGGAGAATTTTAAGATGTTAAGATGGCTGGAGGGGAGTGTGGGGTGAGAATGGGAGGGAAGGGAAGGAGAGTAGATACTAAGGGACTCCAGGACTGAAGCTGCAACACTGCGGAAGGGTATCTCACATCTGCTCCCTACCACACCTAAAAGAAGGCTCCACTGGCATTTACCGACCACAATCTGAAATAAAAGGCAGCCCACTAGAGTATTTCCTTTCCCTGATTAATGGCTTCTCACCAACAATACCAGGTGAGTCCTACAGCACCAGCTTTGGAATCTGTTGGGATCCTTAACTATTAGCAGCCAAGGAAAGCACTGCCTCTGCCCAACGTGAGATGCCTTCTAGACCTGACAGCTGGCCAGGAGCACAAGCTGGGCTGAGAGCCCAGAATTAGTGTGCCTTCCCAGAATCCAGGAAGCTGCCTTTATCTCTGTGGCTGAAGAGTCCCTACCTCCACCCACAGGCTGAGCAGTCTGGGGCAGCTGTTTCGGCCCCAAAACAGCACCACAGAAACTAGGGGAGTTCCAGTGGCATCAGATAAACCAATAGTTAGGTCAAAGTAATTTTCAGTTTCTAAAAATTAGAGCTTTGTTGGAAACATAGCTCACCAAAGTAGGATGAAAACACATTCTAGGTCTAAATAGGACAACTCCCTCCTGAAATAGTCTAATAAAATATCAAAACTAAAGAAATCACCTATCATATCAAGAATCAGGGAAACAACTTGATAAAAAACACTTTCAGGTAATTTAGAATGGTGGAAAGTAGCCCAACTCAATAAAAAGACCTACAAAAAGCATACACAGTTAACCTCAGATTTAATGGTAAAAGATTAAATGATTTATCGGCAATCATTTAGGAAACAGTAATTATATCCTCTAATGTCATAGTGGAAGTCCTAGGCAGTGCATTAAGACAAAAAACAAGTTGGACTATGGATTAGAAAGGAAATAAAAGTTATTTTATTTCCCCTATTTTCAGACTGTCTATGTAGAAGATCCCAAAAATACAAACAAAACCTTCTAGAGCTAATAAGTGAGTTCAGGAAGATCACAAGATATATACTTTTAACACATAAAATATAATCACATTTCTCCATACCAATACTTAACATATAGAAAGAGAAATACTCATGTATAAAATTTAAACATTCAGTATATAGATGCTGAAATTTTAAAATGCTGGTAAAATAATGAAGTTAAATTTTGATAAATGAAGATACTGTGTACATGGATTTGAGGACTGAACATTATAAAAATATCAGTTCTACACGTAAATGATTTTTTCCGAATGTGATTTAATGACTAAATACAGTTTTTATCAAAATCCAACTAGGACTTTTGTAAGCATAGGCTACAAACTTATTCAGAATTAAAGAGGGAAGGTACAGGCCCTAGAGTAGCAAAAATAATCTTAAAAAAGTAAAATTAAGTGGGAGGAATCACTCTATATGATTTAAAACTCATTATATTGCTAAAATCATTAAAACAATATTGACAGGGCCTCCCTGGTGGCGCAGCGGTTGAGCGCTGGGTTGCTAAGCTGCCCGCAGCCTTTGCAGCACCGGTTTGATCCCCGGCTGCTCCCCGGCCACTTGAGGAGGGTCCTGCATGGCGTGCAGACCTCTCCTGCCTCCTGCTGCTCCCCTCAACAGTGTACTTCCGTCCTTCTGCCTGCTCTGCTCCCCGCTCTGGCTCTGGCTCTGTTGAATTCTCTCACCCTCCCGCGCTTCTGACTGTACCCAGTGCATGTATAAACAAACAAACAAAACAAAACAAATAAATAAATAAATAAATAAAAACATGCCTCTAAAAAATATATATATAAAAAAAATACAATATTGACAGAATGTTGGCTACATACATTAACATAAATAGACCCACTCAAATATGACAGACTGAATATTCACAAAGGTATAAAATCAATTCAATAAATGTAACTGAGGCACTTGGATTTTCAATGGTTAAAAAAAAAAATGAACCTTGAGCTAAATCTTCCATCTTAAATAACACAAAACGGATCATAGGCTTAAAGCTAAAACATAAAATTAGAAAAGCATGTCTGACAAAGAACAAGTATCTAGAATATAAAAAGAACTCTCCAAATCCAACAATAAAACGTCCAATTAGAAAATGGGATCAAACACTTTTAAAAATACTTTTTTTTTTTTTTTAAAGATTTATTTATTTATTTATACAAGCACTGGGTACAGTCAGAAGTGCAGGAGGGTGAGAGAATTCACCAGAGCCAGAACAAGGAACAGAACAGGCAGAATGACGAAGTACACTGGTGAGAAGAGCAGCGGGAGGCAGGAGAGGTCTGCACGCCATGTGGACCCTCGCCCATGGCAGGGGATCGAACCGACGCTGCAGAGGCTGAGGGCAGCTTCGCAACCCAGCGCTCAACTGCTGCACCACCAGGGAGGCCCAAAAATACTTCTTTTTAAGAGAAGTTCTAGGTTGACAAAATGAGAGGAAGATACAAGAATATTCCATATTCCATCCCTCAACCCCATGCAAACATAGCTTCCCCCATTATCAACAGCACTCAGATTTGTACATTTTTCATCAAGGGTGAGCAAATATTGACCCACAATAAACAGCCAAAGTCCATAGTTTACCTGAGGTGCATTCTTTTGGTGGTGTGCATTCTATGGTTGCACAAGGATATAATGACATGTATCCATAATTATAATGTCATATAGAGTATTTTAACTGTTCTAAAAATGCTCTTTGCTCTGCCAATTTCACTCTGGCCCCTTGGTCTTTTTATTATTTGATCTTTTAATTTGTTTATTGTCTCCATAATTCTGCTTTTTCCAGAATGTCATTTAATTGGAATCATCTTTTTATTGTCTCCATTATTTTGCATTTTCCAAAATCTCGTGTAGTTGATAATCATACAGCCTTTCTATATTATATTGATTTCTTTTAGCCACCACATTTAAAAAACTGTTTTATTTAGTTATTTTCTTACATCTTTGTTACTTTTTGGATAATGCTGGAATTTTCCCTCTGGTGTATCCCACCACCACAGCACCCGTGCTCCATCACCACAGTTTCTTGCAGCAACCACTATTATCTCCTTCACTTCTTTGAACCTGGCTGCTTTAAATAATTTCATATAAGTGGAATCATGCAAAATCTGTTTTTCTGTGATTTACTTCAATTCACATAATGCCCTCAACATTCACTATGCTGTCACACATAGCAGGATTTCTCTTTTTCACAGCTAAATAATATTCTATTATATGTATATACAACACTCTAAACCTATGCTCATACAAACTTCTCTGTTTTTAGTAGCTCCCAGGAGTTTAGAGTTTGATAGTCCTCATCAGGATTTGGATATGGTTCAACACATCAGTTCTCTGAGACAGGTAAG